ATCAATCCTTTTAATTTGATGTCCATATCATAAGGGCCACTATGGAAATGATAAATCACCATTTTGTAACGTTCGCCGTATTGGATTAAAAATGGCGTCATTTACGTAATAGTGCAGTCACGAGAACCAAACGCGTGAACCTCAGCTTAATCGGACACTTGGGAGTGGGTCTTTAACTTAGAAAATTTGTTTACAGACAGACACCGGGACAGGTAAAACTTAATAAAAGCTTGTAATAATTTTTATTTTTAATACCGGAATAAATGTCTTATATAATATAGACATCACACATTATACTAAAAAAAGATTTAACGACTACCTTCATACTGTAGTCTCAATCTGTCGCATCGTAATAAAATCATTCTCATCATTCATTTTTCATAACGCGTCATAGTAGGGGAGCCCAAGAGGGGATTTTTGTAGTTACTCAAGCGCGGCAGATTAACATAAAAGAGGTTACCTTGCACTCTATTGAGTACTTTAACCAGTCTTCTATATAAAGGCGCGCGTCTAGGGAAGCCGATCAAAATATTTAAAAAATGTTTTGATGAGGTAGAAATACTTGAAACCGTCAGATTAAGGTGTGGTAGGCTAGTCGCATCCTGAAAAGTGTTCAATTCAATAATCTGCCGATTTGCACAAGCCGAAGAGGCAAAAATCATCATAAACTTTATAGTCGATTTTTGAAGTTGAGTAACTACAAAAATCCCCTGTTGGGCTCCCCTACTATCAAGTATAACTTCAAAAAATCTAAAGTTAAGACTTGAATATTTTTGAAAAATTATTCTGCGAGGTGTGCTAGAACTAAAATCATCCCTAATGATGTGTCCCTAGAAATCCCGGACATATTTAGTAGCTACCATGGTCTAAAATAAAGAAAAAAGAAGAAACCGAAAAAACTAGTATTTTAACCAAAAATCATATATTATTTATAATATTTCGTACCTTTCCAAGAAATCCTGTACCTCCAGTTATAAAAATTGATTGTCCATCATAAAAGTCCGCAATACTTCGGTCCATTATGCCACAGTGTTAGAAAAATGAGTGCAAATTGAAAAATACTTCCTATTTATACCATTATGATACAGATTAATTATGCGTCGTTATTTGCATTAATTATTCTTTGAATTATTAAGAAACCTTTTATAGTTATGAGTAAGTCAGTACGACTGTATTTCATTTAATATTTCTAGTATTGTGAATAAATTAATATTATTAATACAATTCACTTGTTATTGTCTTGAAAGCGTGCCATTAAGCACAAATTACGTCGCCAATGCCACGTGGAATGGAAACGACGAAAGAGATTTGTCAGTAAAATAAAATCATTAAACTATATCCCTCCACAACCGCGGACACGCCGGCGTGTTAGTTAACAATAGATTTCTTATGATTTTATTCTTCTATATTGTATACTAATATGTAAAACCAAATCCTTAGGTTTTACATATAAGTATACTCTTACATTGAAGTTTTTGTATTTTTTTCGGAAATGAGATATTTTCCCGCGGTAAAAAGTATCCTATATGTTGACCCGGATAACCAACTATTACCTTATCAAATTTCATCAAAATCCCTCCAGTGGTTTTTCTGTGATGTGGTAACAGACAGACAGACGGACGGACAGACAGACAAACAGACAGACAGACAGACAAAAATTTTAAAAACTATAGATTCGGCCTCTGTATCGATAATAATATTTATTTCAATTAGATTTTTCAAAAAATATTTAATGTACAGATTCTCTTCTTTCTTACAAATTCGGGGCTTTCTTTATCAGTAGTAAAATGTTTGCTAGTACAATATAGGCAAGTTGTACTTTCCATGGCAACATCACAGACATCACTGGGTACTCACTCACTTACTAAGAGGTTGGGAAAATTTGAAAAACCTTGGCTTAGAACTAAACTGACATTTAGTGTGACTAAAGCTGCAACAATTGAGGCACTGTATTGTAGGTAATTTGTCAGTCTCAACAGGGAGGAAAGTGTGGAAAGAATACGCTTCTTACTTAGGCAACATTTATCCTCTGAATGTTATAACCACCGACTAAGTCGGTACACAGGTAATGACACACTCACATTCTTACGTTTCAGTCGTCTCGCTTTCATAACCTTACCACAGCCGCAGAGGAGTTACGATGAATTAAAAAATTCTTCCATTGCCCGGTAGAAACAATATTGTGGTCGTCAATACATTGATGGATAATTTGAGAAATTTAGAAGTTATGCTATCCCATCCACATTAATGGGTATGTATTTTTTAAGTGATTTTATAATTCTTGCACCCTCATATTTATCAGTAGGGTTCAAATAATTTTGACTATTTTGTATCATGCGTAGTAGTTTGTCTTCTGTCATTGGCGTTCTTTGTATAAAAATATTATTTGCTAGCTCTGCACCTTTGCAACCAATGCTCTGCACCAATACCAGCAAAATATTTGTTTGCATAATCAAGTGATTCTAAAGGCTAGTTTTGAATGTAGGTATTTCCGTGGAAGTATGTCTATCTTTATTTAAATAACATACCTATTTCCGTAACACAATCCCATTGAATTTTGGGTTAAAATTTATTTTGATTTAGTTTGTTTCTATAATAATTAACTCCGGGCTATTACTGAGGTTTACTATACAGAAAGACTCAGTAACTAAACTTGGCCCGATCCGGGACTCGAACCCAGGACCTCCGGGTGTGCAGCCGTACATGCTAGCCACTACACCACCGAGGCAGTTTATTAAATAAAAAAGAGCAGTTTAATTTGATGTACAACACAGACCACGTATAAACAATGGATGACGTAATAAATAGCCAATTTTAACTTTAGGTAATTTACATATAATAATAACTGTTGTATTATTAATGTATTCCTTATAACTTGCTTTCTTATCGATACAAATGCGTCAAGCGCGCGTCGACAGTGTGTTCACTGTGCGTCAAACAAGTGTTTAATATTTTAATAACAGTGCATTGCTAAAATGGCAATGAGCAGTAAAAGGTACGTAAGTGAACCTTTTGTGACCTCCTTTTTGGAAGTCACAAAATATACTCGACTATTGTCCCTAAATACCGCTACTTTTCACATTCCAATTTTGCTACGTAAGTCAAATAAAAATGTCTCTACGATTTATTTAATGGAACAACTCTGAAGGTCTATTCTCAATATAAATGAAATAATTTTTGAAATCAGAAGAATAATTTCGGGGATTACCTTCTACAATCAAACTTAAAAACTTTACGTCTCAATAATATTAGGCTAGTTGTAAATGTCACGAGAAAAGTTAGCAGAACATTCTTTGGAAGAGGTCAACGGCCCCAAGTAGACATTTTTCGACTAGAATACTGATAAAGGTGACTTTTAATTTGTCTCGAGACACGAAACGGAGTTAAATTATACAACTTTTACCTACTTTAAGCTAAGAAAAGATTAAGTAACTTCTACGATTTTTTCCCAAAATTGTGGATGATAATAGTTTCCCACAGTTTCACATATCAGCCTATCTCACTAGATTTATTTTGGACTGAGATAGCAGTTTTAGTTATTTAACTATAAACACAAATATTATTAAGATGACGATATCGAAGTGTTTGTAATACCCTAATTAAGACGAAACAGCTTCTGAGAGATTTTATTATGCTTTTTGAATCCTGATGTAATGATTTAGAACAAACAGTAGATTTTATCATGTGACCATGTTTGGGGTAATCCTTTCCAAAAATACAAACCTAAAAGTAAAATAAAATCGCAAAAATAGAACAAAAAAACAGCTATAATTATAATCTATCACAACTATGTTAGTTACAATTGAATTCTGATACTAGATAAACACTTTATTTATTTATGTAATTATTAGTGTTTAGCAGAAGATTATTCCTTTCAACTTTCCTAGTTCAATATCTGTTGATTCATTCATTATCACCTATTTTGCGACTATTTTAAAACCTAAAGACGTTGAATTACTATTAGTTGATACTCACACAGGATAACAACATATATATTGTATTAATATACATATTGTAAATTAGTATTATATTAAAAACGAGCAACTGTTGAGTTTCTTACCGGCTCTTCTCTACAGAACTCCCTTTCGAGCCGGTGGTAGATTACTCATGGACTTACATACTGACATTTAATTTATATTTAAAATGTAAAATTGACAATTCAAAAGTACTTGGTTGTAAAAATCGAAAAAGTCTATTTGAATAAGGTATATTTTGGTTTGATTTGGTTTTAATATTTGACTTTGGTGTTAACTTGCTAAAAATATAGAGCTTATAAACAACTAGCCTGTATGAGTATGAGTGCATACTGACTAGATCATGAGCTTAAAGTGGGACGAAATGAAACAAAGTCAAGGAAAAACGTATCATCCTGTGTTACGAACTTCTATAAAGATCTATTATGCTACTAAGTCACAGAACACAACACCGGTCAAAGTAATAAAACGCTTAGAAAAAAAATTGAAACAACTAGCTCTCTTGTTTTTTCGTTTTTATCTTTCAGCTTATCATGAAAGGGTTAGTTTCTAGTAGCTTTTATGAAAGCCAAATTAACACTATAATGATCGAATTAATATTATGATAATGATTAATTAATCATCAATCAATAACTAAAAAATAAAATACAGTTATTTCATATTTTCTTGTTTTTTTGTTGATATCTTAAAATAATATGTTTTGAAACCTGATGGACATAATATTTACATTATAATAATATAACTTAAATAAATTAAAAACGTATTGAATTATAATTATTAATATTAACAACTAACAAATACCAAATAACAAACAACACAAACATATCAGTATCACAAAAGGCGCGCAGCTTTGGTACACCAAGTTGCTTGTTTTCCACCAAAATCATATATTTTAACCCCAAGTCCTGGCTACAAATTAAATGTAATTTCTTATACAAAAGTATTTCAGTTATATTATAATGCTGTATACATAATAATAGTACTTATTATATTATAACTAATGTTAACATTTCAATAAAAGCCTTATTTGTTTAACCAAAATTTTCCGATAGCAGCGCAGTAACTAGGTATATATTCCTTCCAATCGATGTCCGCAGGGTCAAAGGGAAATTGTTCTCTTTCCGATGGGGACAAACTGTGGTACAAAGCTCTAGACTTCGCTGCACTAATCACCCAGCTATTATTTGTACAATTTTCTAAAGCATTGCGAACTAAAGTCACTGTGGATTGTAATTTTAAATATCTGAAATAAAATATCATAATCAAATTCTGCGGTAAAAAATTGACCGAAAAAAAAAGTTCTTTTTCTTAATATTGCTGAAATAATTTATAAAATACTACGCTACGAAAAGTACGTTTTAAATTGATATAAATAGTTATTATCCAGCGTTAGACATGTAAGTTTTTAATTGTTTTTTTCGTGAATTTTCCCAATGTTGTGTTTAAAAGTTACTCTGCTATTGAGGCTGGAGATAAATCCAATAAATCAAAAACCATAAAAATCAGTCCAGCGGTTCTCGAATTATAAATGGTGTAACTAACCCGGACTTTGTTTATATATACAAATATAATAAAACATCTCAAACAAGTAAAAAATAAGCACTTGTAATCTCATTCACGCACTCATTCACTCACAAACTTCGAACGCTACGCTTGTCTAAACGCAGTCTCCACTCTAACACGTGACGGCCATTTGTGGGTTTGGAGATATAGCCGGCCTACTTCCGCTTCAGCGTGCTAATTCTACGCACAATATGAGAATTCTATCTTGCTTGAATTTGTGATTCCGCCTTACGGTGAATGTCCACGTAAAACATGGAGCTACCACTGGGTAAAAAGCACTGTGGGTAAACGACTTAAATATATGAATGAGGGTATGTTGTTGGTAAATAAATATGTGGTAATGTTATTTTAAATTACCACTTGCGTAATTTACCTTTTTCTTTTTCCAATAATCCATAAAAACATATCAGCTATGTATGCTGGAATAATTTGTATTAAAAATGTGATGGTTGTTACAAGCCACTTAGATCTTGTATAAAAGCAGAAAGGCATAGGTAGGTCATCTGAAAAACAATGGATGCAAAATAATTAAATGTATTAGATTATGTAATTATTATGTATGAGGTTTCGTTTTCAATATATGTAAAGCTTTAATAAAAAAAGTAATTGAATTTAGCCCTTCTTAACGTCCCACTGCTGGGCCTTCTTTCAATACGAGGGGCATCAGGCCACAGTCAGTTTTCTGCTGAAAAGAACTAACGAGAAACTCAACGGTTGCTTTTTTAAAATAATAATTGTGTACAATATTGAAATACATATTACATTAGTATGATTGCTTTGTATGGGCTGGCACCGATTTTGAAAATATTTGATTAGGTATGTATTTAACAGGTAGGCTTTAATTGCTTAGCCAAAGCACACCGACTTCGAAAATATTTGATTAGGTATGTATAGTAAATGAAAACTACCAATCAGTTATTTTTTACTTTTTAGTGTAGACAGTAGTAGCAAAGTAAGAATTCTAACGTGTCAGGCTTGTCAAATCAAAAAAATAAGCCCAAACTCAAAGTATCTACTATTAGTCGTTGAAGAGTTCCACCTATCCACCTTCTGGCCTTACCATCAGATCAGGTCAACAATACCGAACCACTGTACCATCAACGGAAATAGAAACACTTTCAAAGTTTCAAGTCAATATGACAATTAGAAGTAGGTTAAATTCATCATTAGCTATTTTTCCACCCTTAGGGGAGGTATTTTTTTTTTTTGAAATTTATATGGGACCAATCTAATACTTTCTTAGATTTACGCGAATATTTGACATTTTAAATAAAACTATCTTTTCGGATTTTGTCGCGGATTTATTTGTATTTTTGTTTCCCGACGTTTCGAATGCTTTTGAATTGTGGCTTAAATAATTAATACTATATTTTATATTTTTCTTATGATTATAAATATAATAATGGCAACACTAAATATAGATTGCTAATTAATATTTTTAAAATTGTAATAATTATAAAAAAATAATAGCAAAAATTAAATAAATAATTTTCCATATTCAATTATAATTAAAATTATAAAAATATTTAAAGTTAAAATATTGTAATGTAATTGGTGCAATTTTCATTTTGTTAATTGTGGGTAGGCTGTCTGTAACAACTATATCTTTAAGACATGTAACACCTCAGTCTCTCCCGTGACCATGGATGCTGTAAAGCATTCGAAACGTCGGGAAACAAAAATACAAATAAATCCGCGACAAAATCCGAAAAGATAGTTTTATTTAAAATGGGACCAATCTGGAAGTATACATTTTCAAACAACACAAAAGTTGTCCAAATCGGTTAATAAATGACGGAGTTCTGAGGTAACGAACATAAAAAAAAATACAGTCGAATTGAGAACCTCCTCCTTTTTGAAGTCGGTTGAAAACATTGCTCAGTTGTAAAAAGTTCTCCTACGTAGACAAAATTTTTCTGTGACCTCCCTTTGCGTACTGCTTAAGTAGTTGTTTTGATTTTACCACCCTAATCTTTTTTAAATTATCAGTTAAGAAATGACCATCTCTTATAGGCTGCAAGTTCTAAGTCATCTTTTGAAATACGCGACATGGTTCTAGGTGCTATGTTCATCTCCCGAGATAAAATCTTTTGCTTTCGTACATGATTTCTTCGAATTCTTTCCCTTACTGTTTTGATCGCCTTTTTCGTACGAACACTACGTGGACGGCCAGATTTTTTTCTGTCACAAACAGAGGAGGTTTCATTGTACCTATCAATAGCCCGGTACACAAACATTTGACTAATACCAAGCGCATGGAGAGCTTTAAAAATTGTATTTGGCTCCATACCTACTTTGTGTAATGCAATCACAGCGGTTCGGTTCTCTTTATCACCCCACTCAATTTTAATATCACAAAATATTTTACAATGTATTGAGAGAAAATGAAAAACATAATGAACAATAATATAAAAATGACAGATCAAAAATTCAAATGTAATATTTTGTTTTCTTTTAATTGTAACAGTATTTATGGCCAGACTATGTGAACACAAATCATCTCGGTCCAAGGCAGCCCACATATATCCGCTGCCCGCCACTTTACTTAGGTCATACATTCATAGGAATAATTAATTTGCTTACTCCATTTATGTTTGACGGTCTCAGTTATGCACATATCTATGAGACTCTTCATCGTAATAGGATTTATTTCACTTGTACAACTCCCATATACTGCGACATCTTCCGACCTGAGAAAAAATAGCTTTCTATGATATCATGTATTAATGCAATTATAAATATTACCACAACAGACATACAAACCGCATCTCCGTCCACATTAGTATATAAAAAACACTCCTTTTCTAAGGGGTTTAGCGCTATGTTAGTTAGCCTATTACATTCCTCAGTAAAAATACTGTGTAATAAAAAAGATATTTTTCAATGGGACTAGTAGTTACGAGGTTCATGTATGTTTATACAAACAAACTACATTTTCAACTTTATATATCTATAGTTATCTACATACAGATAAATAGGCAAAGATAAAGCAGTTTAGTGCCTTTTTCTCCTCTGAGCGATTTTCGTTTTTCTTGTTAAGTAGCTATTGAAGAGCTTTAGTGCTATCAATAAAAATGTTTTGGAAACTGAAAATCCATGTATATTTTCCTCAAATTTTCAATAATGACTATAGTCCAATTTCGACAACTAAATAAATATTTTCTTACCTCGTACCCTTTGCAGCGGCAACGACGATGAGATTTGATACGTAATCAACTGGTATAAGATCTACACAATTATTAGGGTTTCCGAGCAGGACTCGGTTCAGGCCCTTACCGATTGCAATCATAAGCGAAGGCACCCCAAGGCAAGTGTCTATCCAACCAACTAAAGGTTCTACTTTACTCGATGTTACTGAAATAGTAGTACTGCTATTAGAAATCAAAAATTTTGTGTGTATTTATGAGTATGATTGCTACTCATTAAGATGAAATATATTGCACAGATAGACAAAAGCCTGGATTAATACATCAGCAGCTGTTAGGCAAATTCATATTATGTACTATAAATTTAACAGGGAACATTATTTAATTTTAATTCATTATTTATCATCGTAAAAATATAAATCATAATAAAAATGAATAAAATGTATATAATATATTTTAATGTTTGAATTAATTTTAAAACCATATTTGAAACGGAGAATTTGAAGCTTGATATATAACATCATATTCCAACTGATACCATCAATTTTGATGACCCCTAAGTTGTTCTAACTATATTCTCATAAATGCTACAATGGTATTAATTCAGTAAAAGACTACAGTAAAAATTGCTTTTTCTCGTCAAACACCATATAAATACCATGAACATTTTCAATAATACAAATCAGTTAGCATCTGAGGCCACTTTATGTTGTAGCCAATTTCGTTATTTTGAAATTACTACACATTTTTACAAAAAATATAACTTTTGTACTAAATTAAAAATAGTTAAATAAGAAAATATCATAATAGGTGTATGATGTAATTTTATGGCTTATAAATACTCGAAATTTTTTTTATATGAAACAAGAACGATAATATGCATATTCCCTATTGTTCTACCTCATATTTATACTGTATTGAAATCTAATATTTCACAAAAGCTATTTACTGAAATGGCAGAATTTACCATTTATTATATACTAACGACTTACTCTCGCTTCGCTCGGGTTCCCAGGAATCTTTTTGTCATAGCTTTTACTGCTGTGTTTCAAATTGTTAAGCAGCGCACTCCAGTAAATCACCTCAAATTGCCAAGAAAGAATAAAGCGATTCATTTGCTGAGATTACTGAGAGTATATCCGTTTTTATCGGAATATCAATTATTGTACCACTTTGCAATAATTGTGAACTAATGTTGTGGGTTATACCTGAGAGGTGGTCACTTATTAATTTAAAAAACGAGATTTTGAAGTGTATGGGAACTTTAAAACTATCTAGAAAGTTTGTGGCCCTCATTTATATCAATCCCGCAAGCCGTCATTTTATTACACATCATAAGGATGTTTCTCGAGTTTTGGGTGTTTATCTATACAGATAAATAAAATTGAAGTGTCTATTTGTAATGTCAAAATAACAGCTTTTTACTAAATGCATATGTAATTATATACGGTATTTATAATAAAAACACAATTTTAAATTTTTTGTCTGTCTGTCTGTTTGTTCCCGCTAATCTCCGAAACGGCAGGGCCGATTTTGAAAGTTTCACTGGCAGATAGTTGATGTTATAAGGAGTATTTTTTATTATTATTATTATGTTGGGTGTGGTGCCGAGGTCGGCCCTAGCTACGTCGACCAGTTTTGGTCCATTGTAGCTCCCTTTAGAATGAGTTCAAAGTTCTCCGCTTAGTCCTGTTGACTCCAGGAACTTCCAGATTTTCTGAGCGGGGAGCATCTGTATCTCTTCCGGTTGCATAATATGCTGCCCTACATAGATACTTCTGCGGTGCATGAATGGACCGCATGAGCAGAGGATGTGCATAGCAGTTTCCTCTGTCTCATGGCATAGTCTGCACATTGCGGTCTGACTGAGGCCGAGGGTAAATATATGTTTATTGAGTTTGCAGTGACCAGTAAGTATTCTGGTTACCGCACTGGTTTTATACTTGTTGAGTTGAAGCAACTCTTTTGTAAAGGTTTTGCGACATCCCTTAATTAGCGCTAGAGTGTGTTTGTCCAGAAGTGGATTGCCACTCTTGAAGTGCTTTGAGATTGCAGTGGTTTTTGAGAATTGAATAGGCATGTTGTTTGGCAATACCATAAAATGGCTCGGGGCCACATTCTGGGGTTTCAGCGCCCATTCTTTCCAATGCATCATTTTGTTTTTTCATTCCCGTCTATACCTGAGTGACCCGGGGCCCATCTGAGCGTAACTCTGTTGGATGTGCCCAGGACATTCAGATTATCCATACAGTTTTTAACCAACTTAGAGTTGGTCTCAAGAGAATCTATAGTCAAAAATATATAAAATATATATAAATATATAAGGAGTAACTCAGACTTCTTTTATTTCAGTAAAAGAATTAGGGTTCCGCTTAAAAAAAATGTACCTAGAGACGAACCCGAGCGACGCGAGGGTGAGTCGCTAGTGGTTTATACTTTGGTAAAGTATAAGTGATTTTTGTAGGTATATGGCATAAAGTATCTAGGGTGACACCCGAGATAAGCAAAGGTAAATCACCAATATAATAATTGATATATGCTAATTTACGAGGTTAAATATTTAGACAATTTGACAATATACGCATATTATAGCAATTTAAAATATAATATTTAAAAGTACGTACTTATTGATGGTCGAACTATTATTTTTGGTATGGTGTCATGGTTTTGGGCCACCATGGACTCAGCAATTGCTTTCGAAAATAAGTATGTGTTTATTCTTTCTTCTGTAAAATGGAAATTAATTATTTGAATGTATAATATAACGTGACTGTTAGGTGAAGGACACGTTAAAAGTTACTATGTTCTATTGTTTTAATTGGACTATTTTTATAAATGCGAATATTTGTATGTGTATGTTTGTTGGTTCTTCACACCGAAATTACTCTACGAGGAGTATACAAATAGAATAGAAACTTACCAACACAGACTAAAAAACAGACAAAGCTAATACTATCGAATATAGTGTCCGTAATAATGATTAAAGTATTCTATTTTTTTTGAGTTTTGGGGCGAGAATGAAGCTCTTGATCAAAATCCTTTACAGTAAAATGGTAATTTGTAGACTAATTCTAAGAGTACGAATTAGGAAACAACGCACTTCGCTTATATTTTGACTGCAATGATTTTAACAACATTATCACCAAAACTACTTACTAGTACTTATAAGACGTTGAACTTCATCTTTAGTGATGCCAGCTTTTATTAAATTTTCAACTTCTTCTAATGAAGCTGGAGCTGGATATATCACCTCTTCTATAAATTTTCTGTTGACGTTACTGAACGCAGTAGACACATAAACAAAAGCCTGTAAACACACCAATTCACTCTATTAAAACTACAGATTACAAATTTAGACACGAAGATACTTTTTATCACAGATTCGGACTTTTTATATGCTAAAGTTTGAAATCAGAAACGTATTTTTATAGAAAAAATCATTTTATTAACTCTTGTACATTAGAAATGCCACAATTACATAATTTTATATGATTTTTTTTACTGCACATTTTTCTCGCTTTTTTTTGGTCTTTAAACATTGTACATTTTTTTGACCTAGTGGAATTTTTATGGAGCATATGTCAAATTCCTGCCCTTAATAAGTAAAATGAGATAAATAGGTTATGAGAACCACCATGTAAGTACATTCGAAACAGTAATAAAATGTACCTTTTTTATTTCGCATTCGCTGACAAAGATCTAGAACACGTAACGTGCCCAATACATTGATGTTGACGGCAATTTTCAACGGTTCATTGAATCTCACCGTAGCAGCCGCATGGAACACTATTGATACCTGTAAGCATTATTAGCATGGTGTTCATTAAAAATATAAAAATCTTTAGAACGACGATATATATATGCCGTATTGTACTCCATGACATGTACCTCCCGGAATGCCTCCGTCTAGTCCAGTCTCATAGAGATTAGCCACGTTGCCATTATTGTTAGTAGGTATTATGGTCAAGACAAGATATGTTTTTTCTTATTATGTAACACAAAGATAACAAAAAAAGATTAGCTAATTTTAAAACGTTCTCTTCTTCGATAGAAAACGTAATTTGGGTCAAAATATTAGAATTATTATACTCCCAAAATTATACTCCCCAGATATTCTTAAAATATATTTCAATCAATCATTTAACTGCCGTGTTCAAGAAAACCGACCAAGTAAACTGGCTATGAAATCAGCTTATCGTTTATGACATTAGTAAAATTAAAAAAATATGTAGTAATTACGTTAATATTGATTGTCATTTTAGATTCTTGTATTCAGCCCTTTTTAACGTCCCACTGCTGGGCACGGGCCTCCCTTCAATACGAGGGCGATCAGGCCATAGTCCACCACGCTGGCCAAGTGCGGGTTGGCGGACTTCACATGTCTTTCGAAAACTTGCTAAGTTCTCTCAGACATGCAGGTTTCCTCAGTTTAGATTCTTACGAAAAGATAATATTTATTTAAATATGTAAATGAACATAATTAAATCGTGTAGTATTACTATTGTTTTCTTTTCCAAAATAAATAGTAGAACTTACGTTTTCTATTAACATTTTTTCATCTGCTTCGTTAATTCCAAGTTTTGGTTCAGAAATATCACCGATAATTGGTATAATTTTATTTAAAGACTGTGGTTTTTCATTTCTCAGTCGTAAAAATACCTATAAATACAAAAATGTAATGAAATATTTCATTATTAAAGAACAATTAGCAATAAGCAATCTTAACCCGGTAAATATGAGGCAGAGTATCATACCAAAACTATAGTTTAAAGTTGTTTTAATTGATAATATTTGTCTAGCAATACTAGAGCTCGCAATAGCCGAAGTCTGAAGTGCGCTGAAGAGGATATTTTTGCACACACATTTTCGGGTAATACGTGGATAATATTTTTTATTACAAAAATTACTCTATGGAACTTGGGTTGAAGTATTAAAATCTCTCTGAAGTATTAACACCTAATTAATTACCGATGGCAAAGAAGACGCAACAATTTACTTTGAAGGCCCTTAGGAAATCCTTGGTCGAAAGATAGATCGATTTATGTTCCAAAAAACTATGTCTATCGAATGTTAAACAAGTGATAAATTAAAAATTTAAAAATCCTCCGACCATCTTGGACCGATTTTCATCAAACTTAGCTAGGAACACTCCCAACTAATTCACCTTTCAAATAAAAAAATAATAATATCAAAATCGGTTCATCCTGTCGGCAGCTACGACGCCACAGACAGACATACACAGACACGTCAAACTTATAACACAACAACAAGGACGGGGTCGTCGTTTGTACGTCGGGGCTTAATCAATTTCACGACACTTCGTCAGCCAAGGAACTCAACAAGGGGCGCTGAGTTTTAGTAGGTAGGTAGGTTGGCTCATTTAATCGACGAGTCTCGCTTAAATATCTGCATAGATTGAGTAGGACAGATTGTATTTGAGTAAGAATAGTTAAAAAAAATTGAAAAACATGCCATAACGGTTTTTCCAACATATCTTGAAGACTTTTATGTATATCAGCATCACACTTTTGTCGCATTAGAAGATAAATTTTACTAATTCCGGAAAAGCTATACAGTAACTTTTCTACGAGTACCTGCAATATATATGTATTACAATAACAGATAACATATTTTGCTACAGTCTTACTCTTATTCACTTTAAAAATCCATTATTATATTAGACGTTTATAATTTATTTGTTTACTGATGAAATATAATTTAGCATATTTTAGTTAAGATTTGAATTAAATTTAAATAAAAGCCTGTTTTTTTAAATTTTAAATAAAAGCTTTTTAAAGATTTTTTTTTAACTTTTTTTCGTATTCTTCTCGGCAAACCCTTTCATTTGATATCCATATCATAGGCGTGCATAAAAAAACAGTCTCCCATCTTCAGAAGTCCGTCATATTAGATTTACAATGACGTCACTATGCTTATCATGTTTCACTTATCAATCCTTTTAATTTGATGTCCATATCATAAGGGCCACTATGGAAATGATAAATCACCATTTTGTAACGTTCGCCGTATTGGATTAAAAATGGCGTCATTTACGTAATAGTGCAGTCACGAGAACCAAACGCGTGAACCTCAGCTTAATCGGACACTTGGGAGTGGGTCTTTAACTTAGAAAATTTGTTTACAGACAGACACCGGGACAGGTAAAACTTAATAAAAGCTTGTAATAATTTTTATTTTTAATACCGGAATAAATGTCTTATATAATATAGACATCACACATTATACTAAAAAAAGATTTAACGACTACCTTCATACTGTAGTCTCAATCTGTCGCATCGTAATAAAATCATTCTCATCATTCATTTTTCATAACGCGTCATAGTAGGGGAGCCCAAGAGGGGATTTTTGTAGTTACTCAAGCGCGGCAGATTAACATAAAAGAGGTTACCTTGCACTCTATTGAGTACTTTAACCAGTCTTCTATATAAAGGCGCGCGTCTAGGGAAGCCGATCAAAATATTTAAAAAATGTTTTGATGAGGTAGAAATACTTGAAACCGTCAGATTAAGGTGTGGTAGGCTAGTCGCATCCTGAAAAGTGTTCAATTCAATAATCTGCCGATTTGCACAAGCCGAAGAGGCAAAAATCATCATAAACTTTATAGTCGATTTTTGAAGTTGAGTAACTACAAAAATCCCCTGTTGGGCTCCCCTACTATCAAGTATAACTTCAAAAAATCTAAAGTTAAGACTTGAATATTTTTGAAAAATTATTCTGCGAGGTGTGCTAGAACTAAAATCATCCCTAATGATGTGTCCCTAGAAATCCCGGACATATTTAGTAGCTACCATGGTCTAAAATAAAGAAAAAAGAAAAACCGAAAAAACTAGTATTTTAACCAAAAATCATATATTATTTATAATATTTCGTACCTTTCCAAGAAATCCTGTACCTCCAGTTATAAAAATTGATTGTCCATCATAAAAGTCCGCAATACTTCGGTCCATTATGCCACAGTGTTAGAAAAATGAGTGCAAATTGAAAAATACTTCCTATTTATACCATTATGATACAGATTAATTATGCGTCGTTATTTGCATTAATTATTCTTTGAATTATTAAGAAACCTTTTATAGTTATGAGTAAGTCAGTACGACTGTATTTCATTTAATATTTCTAGTATTGTGAATAAATTAATATTATTAATACAATTCACTTGTTATTGTCTTGAAAGCGTGCCATTAAGCACAAATTACGTCGCCAATGCCACGTGGAATGGAAACGACGAAAGAGATTTGTCAGTAAAATAAAATCATTAAACTATATCCCTCCACAACCGCGGACACGCCGGCGTGTTAGTTAACAATAGATTTCTTATGATTTTATTCTTCTATATTGTATACTAATATGTAAAACCAAATCCTTAGGTTTTACATATAAGTATACTCTTACATTGAAGTTTTTGTATTTTTTTCGGAAATGAGATATTTTCCCGCGGTAAAAAGTATCCTATATGTTGACCCGGATAACCAACTATTACCTTATCAAATTTCATCAAAATCCCTCCAGTGGTTTTTCTGTGATGTGGTAACAGACAGACAGACGGACGGACAGACAGACAAACAGACAGACAGACAGACAAAAATTTTAAAAACTATAGATTCGGCCTCTGTATCGATAATAATATTTATTTCAATTAGATTTTTCAAAAAATATTTAATGTACAGATTCTCTTCTTTCTTACAAATTCGGGGCTTTCTTTATCAGTAGTAAAATGTTTGCTAGTACAATATAGGCAAGTTGTACTTTCCATGGCAACATCACAGACATCACTGGGTACTCACTCACTTACTAAGAGGTTGGGAAAATTTGAAAAACCTTGGCTTAGAACTAAACTGACATTTAGTGTGACTAAAGCTGCAACAATTGAGGCACTGTATTGTAGGTAATTTGTCAGTCTCAACAGGGAGGAAAGTGTGGAAAGAATACGCTTCTTACTTAGGCAACATTTATCCTCTGAATGTTATAACCACCGACTAAGTCGGTACACAGGTAATGACACACTCACATTCTTACGTTTCAGTCGTCTCGCTTTCATAACCTTACCACAGCCGCAGAGGAGTTACGATGAATTAAAAAATTCTTCCATTGCCCGGTAGAAACAATATTGTGGTCGTCAATACATTGATGGATAATTTGAGAAATTTAGAAGTTATGCTATCCCATCCACATTAATGGGTATGTATTTTTTTAAGTGATTTTATAATTCTTGCCCCCTCATATTTATCAGTAGGGTTCAAATAATTTTGACTATTTTGTATCATGCGTAGTAGTTTGTCTTCTGTCATTGGCGTTCTTTGTATAAAAATATTATTTGCTAGCTCTGCACCTTTGCAACCAATGCTCTGCACCAATACCAGCAAAATATTTGTTTGCATAATCAAGTGATTCTAAAGGCTAGTTTTGAATGTAGGTATTTCCGTGGAAGTATGTCTATCTTTATTTAAATAACATACCTATTTTCCGTAACACAATCCCATTGAATTTTGGGTTAAAATTTATTTTGATTTAGTTTGTTTCTATAATAATTAACTCCGGGCTATTACTGAGGTTTACTATACAGAAAGACTCAGTAACTAAACTTGGCCCGATCCGGGACTCGAACCCAGGACCTCCGGGTGTGCAGCCGTACATGCTAGCCACTACACCACCGAGGCAGTTTATTAAATAAAAAAGAGCAGTTTAATTTGATGTACAACACAGACCACGTATAAACAATGGATGACGTAATAAATAGCCAATTTTAACTTTAGGTAATTTACATATAATAATAACTGTTTGTATTATTAATGTATTCCTTATAACTTGCTTTCTTATCGATACAAATGCGTCAAGCGCGCGTCGACAGTGTGTTCACTGTGCGTCAAACAAGTGTTTAATATTTTTAATAACAGTGCATTGCTAAAATGGCAATGAGCAGTAAAAGGTACGTAAGTGAACCTTTTGTGACCTCCTTTTTGGAAGTCACAAAATATACTCGACTATTGTCCCTAAATACCGCTACTTTTCACATTCCAATTTTGCTACGTAAGTCAAATAAAAATGTCTCTACGATTTATTTAATGGAACAACTCTGAAGGTCTATTCTCAATATAAATGAAATAATTTTTTGAAATCAGAAGAATAATTTCGGGGGATTACCTTCTACAATCAAACTTAAAAACTTTACGTCTCAATAATATTAGGCTAGTTGTAAATGTCACGAGAAAAGTTAGCAGAACATTCTTTGGAAGAGGTCAACGGCCCCAAGTAGACATTTTTCGACTAGAATACTGATAAAGGTGACTTTTAATTTGTCTCGAGACACGAAACGGAGTTAAATTATACAACTTTTACCTACTTTAAGCTAAGAAAAGATTAAGTAACTTCTACGATTTTTTCCCAAAATTGTGGATGATAATAGTTTTTCCCACAGTTTCACATATCAGCCTATCTCACTAGATTTATTTTGGACTGAGATAGCAGTTTTAGTTATTTAACTATAAACACAAATATTATTAAGATGACGATATCGAAGTGTTTTGTAATACCCTAATTAAGACGAAACAGCTTCTGAGAGATTTTATTATGCTTTTTGAATCCTGATGTAATGATTTAGAAAACAAACAGTAGATTTTATCATGTGACCATGTTTGGGGTAATCCTTTCCAAAAATACAAACCTAAAAGTAAAATAAAATCGCAAAAATAGAACAAAAAAACAGCTATAATTATAATCTATCACAACTATGTTAGTTACAATTGAATTCTGATACTAGATAAACACTTTATTTTAATTTATGTAATTATTAGTGTTTAGCAGAAGATTATTCCTTTCAACTTTCCTAGTTCAATATCTGTTGATTCATTCATTATCACCTATTTTGCGACTATTTTAAAACCTAAAGACGTTGAATTACTATTAGTTGATACTCACACAGGATAACAACATATATATTGTATTAATATACATATTGTAAATTAGTATTATATTAAAAACGAGCAACTGTTGAGTTTTCTTACCGGCTCTTCTCTACAGAACTCCCTTTCGAGCCGGTGGTAGATTACTCATGGACTTACATACTGACATTTAATTTATATTTAAAATGTAAAATTGACAATTCAAAAGTACTTGGTTGTAAAAATCGAAAAAGTCTATTTGAATAAGGTATATTTTTGGTTTGATTTGGTTTTAATATTTGACTTTGGTGTTAACTTGCTAAAAATATAGAGCTTATAAACAACTAGCCTGTATGAGTATGAGTGCATACTGACTAGATCATGAGCTTAAAGTGGGACGAAATGAAACAAAGTCAAGGAAAAACGTATCATCCTGTGTTACGAACTTCTATAAAGATCTATTATGCTACTAAGTCACAGAACACAACACCGGTCAAAGTAATAAAACGCTTAGAAAAAAAATTGAAACAACTAGCTCTCTTGTTTTTTCGTTTTTATCTTTCAGCTTATCATGAAAGGGTTAGTTTCTAGTAGCTTTTATGAAAGCCAAATTAACACTATAATGATCGAATTAATATTATGATAATGATTAATTAATCATCAATCAATAACTAAAAAATAAAATACAGTTATTTCATATTTTCTTGTTTTTTTTTTGTTGATATCTTAAAATAATATGATTTGGAACCTGATGGACATAATATTTACATTATAATAATATAACTTAAATAAATTAAAAACGTATTGAATTATAATTATTAATATTAACAACTAACAAATACCAAATAACAAACAACACAAACATATCAGTATCACAAAAGGCGCGCAGCTTTGGTACACCAAGTTGCTTGTTTTCCACCAAAATCATATATTTTAACCCCAAGTCCTGGCTACAAATTAAATGTAATTTCTTATACAAAAGTATTTCAGTTATATTATAATGCTGTATACATAATAATAGTACTTATTATATTATAACTAATGTTAACATTTCAATAAAAGCCTTATTTGTTTAACCAAAATTTTCCGATAGCAGCGCAGTAACTAGGTATATATTCCTTCCAATCGATGTCCGCAGGGTCAAACGGAAATTGTTCTCTTTCCGATGGGGATAAACTGTGGTACAAAGCTCTAGACTTCGCTGCACTAATCACCCAGCTATTATTTGTACACTTTTCTAAAGCATTGCGAACTAAAGTCACTGAGGATTGTAATTTTAAATATCTGAAATAAAATATCATAATCAAATTCTGCGGTACAAAATTGACCGAAAAAAAATGTTCTTTTTCTTAATATTGCTGAAATAATTTATAAAAAACTACGCTACGAAAAGTACGTTTTAAATTGATATAAATAGTTATTAGCCAGCGTTAGTCATGTAAGTTTTTAATTGTTTTTTTTCGTGGATTTTCCCAATGTTGTGTTTAAAAGTTACTCTGCTATTGAAGCTGGAGACAAATCTAATAAATCAAAAACAATTAAAATCAGTCCAGCGGTTTTCGAGTTATAAATGGTGTAACTAACCCGGACTTTGTTTATATATACAAATACAATAAAATACCTCAAACAAGTAAAAAATAAACACTTGTAATCTCATTCACGCACTCATTCACTCACAATCTTCGAACACTACGCTTGTCTAAACGCAGTCTCCACTCTAACACTTGACGGCCATTTGTGCGTTTGGAGATATAGCCGGCCTACTTCCGCTTCAGCGTGCTAATTCTACGCACAATATGAGAATCCTATCTTGCTTGAATTTTTGATTCCGCCTTACGGTGAATGTCCACGTAAAACATGGAGCTACCACTGGGTAAAAAGCACTGTGGGTACGACGACTTAAATATGTGAATGAATGTATGTTGTTGGTAAATAAATATGTGGTAATGTTATTTTAAATTACCACTTGCGTAATTTACCTTTTTCTTTTTCCAATAATCCATAAAAACATATCAGCTATGTATGCTGGAATAATTTGTAATAAAAATGTGATGGTTGTTACAAGCCAC